CCTTGCCTCAAGTTTTTCGTTAACTTAGTCTACAAATAAAACTTCAAAAAGCTCTTATACGGAATCCTGCCCTGTCACTGTTAACCTTGACGACACTGACAGAAAGAGCTTAACCAAGCTATCACACAATTTCTGCCCGACGCAAGTTACCTGTTAACCCAATGACCAAGACAGCCCCACTCTACCAGCTTTTACTTAACACATAGAGTAAATGCCTGGTAAAATTTAACAGAGAAAGCCGGCACTCACCCAGTTCGCAGTCATGTATCCGGCGTCGTGCCTCTCAGAAGTGCCGTTCGATTCCCTCTGGAAGTCGATGAGCTCGTGTCATCCTTCTCCTGTCGTCCCGTTGTTGGACTTCCAGCTCACTCCGTCCTGTGGTCGCTTTCGGGCTTATCAGCATCCCGCCGCTGCCATCCAGTTGTTGAGACTCCGGGTCCTGCCGGTCTCGTTTTCGGTAGCTGGCCCCATCGCAGGATCCATCGTCCAACAATTCAGCGAGAAAAGAGCGCCCGAACGAACAACAGAGATTTATTTACATGCGTAGAAGTGGTCAACTGACCCAAAGAGAGAAGAGTGCGAGTGATACAAAACGTCTTCGGCATTTTATAGCGCCACGTTGTTGACACTGGGCGCCTTGTCCGCATCGTCAGCCAATACGGTGTCCCTGGCACCTCGGCCACGAGGGAGGGGGAAACACCTCTCACAACACATGGAGTGGCACAAGCCAACACGATGTCCATATATGGTCCCGGCGCCCCAAAATGTTACCAAACATGGTCACGAACGCACAGCAGACCCCGGAGCTCTCCCAGCGAGAGGAGGAGCCCGAATGGGGAGGTGGGGGTGGACGACACCGTCGGTCAAGAACCGGTTCTCCCCCAAACTCGTCCTGCCCGGTTCCCCAGGGCCGGTCGTAACAACGGTGATCGCGGACTCAGGGCCCATTAAAAACCCCCCATAATTTACCTTGTCTTGTGTAACAATATTGTCCAACTATAGCCATGAGACTGATAAATTCAGTCTTGTACAAAGTAACAAGGTATTGTGCACTCTCGTGCGCAATATTGAATCGTATTGCGTAGAGGGTGGTCCAAATTCATTGTAAAGATAGAACACTTTTCCCGGAGTTTGTCACCCACCAATTGTTGAAAGTTTTGCTGCAAATGACATTCTTTATCACCTTTTTATGGGGCCGAAAATTTCGGCAGGTACCACACATTTCTTTAATCGATTTACGCAAAACAGTCGGGAGGTGATTGCCTATACTACATTTTTTGGCTTTGAGACAGGCGTTACAAGAGGAAGTGGCGAGTTCTAAATGCTAACATTTCTTTGCAAACTTCAGCGACTTAAGGTATCTATCTATCTATTTATCTATCTATCTATCTATCTATCTATCTATCTATCTATCTATCTATCTATCTATCTATCTACCTATCTGTCTGTCTGTCTGTCTGTCTGTGTGTCTGTCTGTCTACGACATTTATCGCTCCTGGCTGTTTGGATAATGGGACCTATACCAAAATTGGTATGACATAAATTACTGTATGAGGAGCATCAGTGACTAGTCATAACATGAATATTATGATTTACATGTCATGGTGTTGCTGCTCTTACGGCGGTTTCGTTGACATGACGTATCGCAAAATTAGTATGTATGAGCGGTGAACATACGGAACAAGCCCTCCATGGAAATCATGACATGCGTGTCATGTAAGAACACGACTACATGCCACGCCCATGATGTACTAGCGGTTGTTTTGCTAGCTTAGAATATGGGAAATTTGATATTACGCGATGTGAATCGATGACGAAGAGAAATTCCAAGCGCAATCATGATAAGCACGACATGGAAGTCATCTGCGGCATTATTTATATGCACACCACTGCTGGTGGTGGTATTACAAACGTAAGTAGTGCCGTCGTTACGTGACACTATACAACATACTTGCATTTTTTTTTCCAGATATGTGAGTGCGCATAACATTTGTAGTTCTGTTTACCGTGTAATGCACCCATCGTCCTCATAACGCTTTGCTCATTTTAAAGTGGCATTTCCAGCTTTCCAGCTTCCTCGTTCGTGCTTTTCCTCGATTCCCACTGTACGTGGGATCTTCCTATTTTCTATTTTTGCTAGGTTTAACCCGAACATACATTTGGCCCACGTACATTGTGCGCGCTGGCGTAGAGGAGCTAATATGTGGCCAAGAGTCCAGTGCAATAATGAAGTGTGTGTGTTTGTTTGTGTGTGTGTGTGTTTTGTCTTTTCTTAACAGAGAAGCTTTTTTGTGGGTTATTCAAAATAAAGTTTCGCTAACATATAAAGATCCTGTATATTTTGTTCTACTAAACCCCTTATTGAATTCTTGATTTGATACAAACTGTTAAGTCTCGGAACTCTATACACAGTATCCTCCACTTAATTTCTATTGTCGACCATGTAAGGAAGTAATCGCACCGAAAGAATGCACATCAGTGGCTTACTTGTATACGATTCGCGAGATCTGCGCTTGTGGAAGATGCGTTATGCAAGTTTGTCCTGTATGCCTTCCATGACACTTGCATTTGTGAGTGTAAAGTTCCAGAAATAACATAGATAACCATTTCAATCTGCCGACTCTACTCATTTTTGAACGGTGCATAGCGAAGGTCTTACGCCGCAATCGCAACGTCGGGCTCTGGAATCACTTAATAAAGGCATTTCTAATGCCTAGGTAAGGAGCAAGTTATGTTTTCTTTTGCTTGACGCGGGACTCTGCTGCTCCATAAAGACGGTGTTTCTGACCACCAGATATTGTTTAAAATGAAGCCGACAGAAGATGAAGCTTGCGGTGTTTTTTTGTTATTGCTTGGCGGCTGCTAGCGGTGTATTTGTACTCGTTGACCAGCGAAAAATGACAAATTGTGCAGGTTGGAAAGTGACAGTTCATTTGTGTAATTAGCTAGCGATAGAACAATCGACTGCGCCAGCACAACAGGATTCAACACAGGAGCTTGGACGTCCGAGTATTTTTAATGAAGCAACAGGGTTCGAAAGGAAAACCAGGATGTACATGCGCTACACGTGAGCAGCTAGTACAGATGAAAACACTGCACATGAGACAATCACATAATTAATAACCAACACGTGCTCATGCTTCATAAAAAACATAAAATTTAACGCAGAGCATGATACATTTTAAATTACATTTCTCTAAAAAGATGATCAGCGTCTTTTTCGTGCTAACGCTATGGAAAGTAAATGTCAGGAGCAAGTTTTTCTTTGCATTTTATATATTTCACTCGGTTCCTTATTGCATATTGTGGCATTTCAGATATGCTTCCATCAGTTCCTTCGCATGCATTTTATTGCTGGGTATCGATAAAAAGTGGCGAGCAACCGCACTCTCTGCAGTCGAGCGTGTGAGTCTCTGCTGATGTGGCGGACATTTCAGTTTCTTGAGCGTCCCGCTGGCCTATGCACACTGTGACAAGGAATGACTAACATCCGTACTTCCTTTCTTCCTCCTACAACAGGGAAACGGTATGCGGTATGTACGACAACTAACAAAATAATGATCCCTTAAACGTGGCACGTCTTTCCTCATTTGCCAGTAGTGCTGCTCCTGATTTCCGGTTTTCGGTGACTTCACAAAATTGCGAAAGCATTGAATGGCGCCGAAAATTCGGCAACATATTTTCACGCTATGATAAATCGTGTACTACCGCCCGCCTACTGTACCCACTGTCACGCGTACTTGAAGATCCATCTGTTTCTTTTTTAACTTCCTTTCATTTCAACTCAACCCTGCGGCATTACAATGGGGGACTCAAACGCTGCAACTTTTCAATGAAGGCTCTGCAAGTGCCACCTAATTCCCTCCGTGATGTTTCAGGTATGCGTGACCTCCTAAAAATGCACCTTCTTTCTACTAAAAGTTCTTCAGAGCTAAAAAAAAGTGAGGGAGGGAGGCAGGGGTTACAAAACAGTACTTTACACTGCCAGTCTCAGAAGCAATTTTTAGGCTTTTTTCCTTCCTTTTTTTAAAGTGGAGCAGCTATGGAATCGTACACATGTATATGTCGACGGAACACGTGTTAGGACCGGGCCGAGCCGCGTCACGGAGAAAGCGGTGACCCCTTTCCTCTCCTCCTCCTAATACAAGGAACAGGTCGCCGGAGGGCTGTGGGCCAGCTGATGGCGCTCGCTCGCTGGATTCCGTGCCGACCGGTTGTGCCCTCGCGATTTCCGACGACAGCGCAGCTCTGGCCGACAGGGTTGGTCCTACGCCACGTTCTGCCGCCGGTCCCCTACGACGACGTCAGCGCAGCTCTGGCCAACTGGATTAGCCCTGCGCTATCTCCTGTCGCCGACAAGAGCTCTCGCAAGTGGTGCCCCGTCCTCGGATTCCTGTGACCGTGTTTCATCTTTCCTATCTCTCATATGTTGTCGCTCACTGTCCTTGCGCATCTTTCTATCTCTCTGTCTATACCTTTAATCCTATCATTTTGATCCCTCCTTACCCCAATCCCTTGTGAGCTACTGTTGAGGTGTCGCACGTTGATGCGGGGCTCACTTTTCTCTTCTTTTCCCTCTTAAAACCACAAATTAGATGATGGCCGTCTAAATATGTGCTCCCGACACTGCAAGTGTGGCGCTATGCTGCCCGGCGACGCAAGGTGTTCGACCAAAGCTACTGCAATGGTTCTCGGCTATAACGCCCTCCTTGAGGAGAGCGGTGTCACGGCGGATGACAACCAGCCCCGATAATTGAGCGTAGCGAGCGGCGGCCCTTTTCTCGCTCTGATGCGCGAGCGTGAGACCTATAACCCAGCCGCCTTCTCACATAAAAAAAGGGACATGTTGGCGCATCGCAATGCACACAGACGGTCGCGCCACGTAGCGGCCGGCGAGAGCGAAATCTCAGAGATGATCAGTTGAGGAGTGGAGCCAGGCGGGTTCTCGTTTCTTACCAACTTTCATGCACGCGATGGCAAAAAAATCTAAAAGTAACAGGATGTACTGCATGCCTCAGTGCACGAACAGAGCGGTGAAGGATGAGATAAGCCTTCATTCGTTTCCGCTGGATGTGCGACTCAAGAAGGAGTGGGTGGTGAAGCTCCGTATAGGCAAGCCTGTGGCGCCGCCAATGAAGTTTTGCAGCGCACATTTTGTCACCGAAGACTTCTTATGGAGCAGCATTGGTAAGCCAAATGCTAATTGTTGACATTGTTCACGAAAGCATAAGGATTACGCTCTAACGATATTGTTGAAATGAACGGCGCCGTCGATGCGGGACGATGGACGTAAACACCGCAACACTTGATTGTTGCTTTTGGAGAGTTCCGAAGCTAGTGCCTGGGCGTCTGTCGCCCGCATAAAACGAAGGGAGCGTTAATTTTGGCATTCTGTCGGTCTTTTTAACAGACCGTAATGCGCGACTGCCCTTTGAAGTGTCTTTCCTCGCGGGCTCTTTCAATGCGATCAGGGCCAATCCGGATCGGATTTCATAATCAACACCGACCGCTGTTACACGGCAAAAACCTGTCCGGATCATGTTTGTTGCAGACGTCAAGGAAACCGCGATCATAACAATCCCAATCACACTTAATCGCAAGTGGCATTGTAGGGGCGATTGATATGGACTGAGCCCAATGCAAATCAGCCCTGATCGCGAGAAAAATTTCCTTGTGACACAGGCTTTGCTTTTTAGCGCGTTAGCTTTGCGACTGGTTTTTAAGTCTCATTAGTGTGCATTAGCAATCTGGTTTAACTAACAAAACATTTTAACTTTTAATTCCACCAATGGCCGGTGCATCGTTATGAATGCAGAATTACATAAAATGCTTGGTCCATGCATGCAATTGAATGCTCGTGCAACAGTAAGGTATTCAAA